GTTTAGACGTGGGACCGTGTAATTTCATTACGGGATCGAACACAAAATGCGTATATTGAATTTTCTCTTATCAAATCTATATAACGCCGCCATTTTGACTTTATTTGGTGTAAGCTTAACGCGCATGCTTGTCAGCCATGTTGTCCTTCATTTCTGACCATGATAGCATTTTCCGATGACAGGAATGTTATGGCCACCGAAAGCGGTCAGTTTTGCGGCGCTCGTTTTGAGCTTGCTACGACGTTGTCGTTTTGGAACAGCGGCTTCGAAATCTTTCTTTGTTGGAACGTTTGTCTCGGCTCCGGAGTCGAGTTTTATGCGAATTGTCGTGTTGTTAATTTTAAGAGATGCGTGTTCTTCGTCATTGTCACTTGTCACAGCTGTTTTCACCATATCAATTCCGTGCGTCCAGGAGTCGCTTTCATAATCTACATTGTGATCAGATTTCTTTGGATTTTTAGCTTGTGATCGACATAGTTCGGCAAAGTGTCCTAGCTTTTGACAGTTATTGCACTTTTTTCCCATATGCAGGACACGATTTTGGCTCGTGAACTCGACCACAATTACCGCAGGATTTGTTTGGGGGTTTTCCGTTTTCCGGTTTGTTGTTGGGGTTGCGAAAATTCCCTCTGTAATTGTGTTTTTGCTGGTCTTTCCCCAATGCGTCGACATTGGCAGAACTCTGATCGCTTAGCGACTTCACTTGCTTGCGAGATACTTCGGATGCTCGGCATATATCCAAGGTTTTCTGCAGGGTTAACTCGGATTCATGAAGTAGACGTTCTTTAATACTTTGGTTACGAATTCCACAAACTATCGGTCACGAATTGGCCCATCGTGAAGTGTCTCAAATTCACATGTTGCTGCGCGAGTGCGCAAAACAGTCACATACTGGTCGATGGTTTCGTTTTTTTCTTGATTCCGTATGTTGAATTTGTGTCGTTCGAACGTAATGTTCTTTCTCGGGTTACAATAGGTTTTAAACTCGTTTGTTGTTCTCTTCCACGTTGTTGCCCCCCTCTTGGTTTGTCTCTGTTTCTGGCGTTGCGAACGTCAAGGTCTTGTAAACTTCTCGGCCTTTCTCTCCAGTGCATAGAGAAAGTATGAGCATCTTTTCTCTTCAGACCGTCCTTTCAGCTCAGTCTTCTCGAAGAGCGTCCTCAAATTTGCGAAAGTTTTCACTGACGTTCCCGTCTAATTTCAAATGTTTAGGCGCTGCCCATTGAAGGTTTCCTGATGCCATGTTTACTGCTTTTTATGGCATCCCACTCCTAACACCATGTAATGCTTCTACGTGCTTATAGAAGATTTATTCATAAGCGTAAAAGATACACGTCTGATTATGTCTAGGTGTTCTAGCGAGTGCCCTTGAGGTTCCTATTACAATTACATGTGCTAGTGATTATGATATGAACTGCCAATCAACCTAATTGATGTATGTATATAGCTACCATATATGAGCATATATTACAATTAATTCATTTTATTTCAGATATCGAAGTCCGATCCGATCTGATCCGACTACGAAACAACTTTATCAATCCGATCCGAAATGAATATTTTGGTTCCGAAATCCGAACGATTCCAATCGGATCGGATCAGATTCCGATCGGATTTGCACAAGTCTACTTGTGAGTTACTTTATATGTCCTGGTCACATTGTGAAGTAATCTTTCAGATCTAGTCAGTACTATGCATCCGATAATTGACAGGTAATGGGAAATCTATTGATTCGTTAAGTGAACCTGATAATTTCCCTGATTTAATTAGGATATTTTGGAATTGCATCCAGAGACCGGTTGTTCAAAAGCTGGTAAACCTAGGTTAAATTTTAAGTTAACCCACTGTTCTGGTTACTTCTGCATGTCTGTTTATTTTGAACACAAAACAATATAAACAAAAAATCAATCGCTCCGTACAATGTTTGTCTATAAAAAAGTATTCATAGGCAATAACCGCTGCTTTCTTAATATTAAATGTTTTTAACATTAGGTTCAATATGCCATGCTGGTGACCTTGACTACTACAACCTATTAAAGGAGCAAGAGAATCTGATAGACCAAACTACAACTATAACCAAGTACGTACTGTCTCGGAGCCACTTCCTGAATTTGTTGACTGGCAATCAACATTGATTAATATTTACAATGGATTACATTGTACACCTTGATTTCAATCTATATATTGTGTACCGAATTATGGATAAATAGACAATGACATTAAACAAATGTTCTTACATTCAACAAATTATACTCTTGTGCCATTCCTTTAGACCAAAATGGATTTCAATTCATGGAACTAAATACAAAACTGGTTGTGTGTTGTGGATCAATCACAATGAGCAGGAAACACCATGCTTCGCAATTGTGAAAGACATCTGCATTGTTGAAAGAGATTTGATCGGTTCGTGGTTCATCGCTGAAGTATTGCACACAGTAGCTTTGGTTAAGCATTTCAATGCTAATGAAGTGAACGAGACAGTGAATTTACAACTAGTGAGACAACACCAACTTGTTTATCCTCTGCCACTTCACTTGATCACAGCTACAGATCAAGAACAAGTGCGAACCTTTGTTTGCCCCAAATATCAAGTTCCAGTTTAAGAACAAAACAGTATAGTAATTCATTCATTACTTTTGTTAATAAGAACAAGCAATCAATTCTAACTTTTCTGCCATAGTTATAGCGTTTCAGAGTTTGTAATAAATATATACTGAAATATACATGATATATCCATATAAGCCAGACTGATAGTTCATTAGTTCCAGATACGTCAATTACAGTGTGTGACCACTGTAACCATGTATTAAAGTACTAGTATTATTTAACTTTCTTATTGCTTAAACACCAACATTGGCAACATTCAAGCCAATCATTTTTAATAATAAACAATTTTAGTCTGCTTTTCGGAACATGACAGATTACTTTTATAGCGAATGCATCTGCACGAAATATACATTAACGTGCAATGACATTAATGCTATTCGTCTTTTAATACGCGTACCTTTAATATATTTTCCTATCAGTGCTTTTTCTTTGACTTTGCCTTGTCATCTTGTCAATATTTCTTTTCCATATTAATTTTAATCGTAGAATAAAATTCAATGCATACGTGTTTGCTCGACAATATTCGATCCTGCATGCAGCTTTCTAAAAATTGACTTGTACCTGCAAAATTGCTTGAATTTATATAAAGCTTTTAACCTTTCATATTCAAATATTCATTCCTCAACAAAAATCCGCCATTTTTAATTGTACTTGTGTTACCCCGAACGTGGGGGGTAATTATCGCCCCAAATGATTTTACTCCCAGTAATTTTACCCCAGCTACCATCTAATTACCCCGTGATTTGGGGTAAAGTTGTAAAATCTTTATAATTCGAAAGATATACAGTATATCTTGATATTTCGATCACATAAACAACAATTCGACTTTTGTTTATTTACAGTATCTAGTATTATCTACATATGACGTTAATATTAAATAATGCCATCTACAATAATAATATAATCCCGTTTGTTTTCCAGTCTCGTCGACAAAACGGTAGCCTGCGCATGCGAAAACAGACTACCGTCATTAAACATATGGCGGAATTATGCCAAAAATGAAAACATAGCATAATTTTATGCCTTCATTCCAGGGATTATCACTGCAAGATCATTCTGACGTTCAAATAGAATGCTTTCAAAACATGCTTACACTGTTTCTGTTGGCCAGAACTGTTCTTGTCCCATATGATTACCGCATTCATGGGAGTATATTGGAAAAACTGGAACTGAATTCTATTACTCCTTGATGTGGAGTAATTTCTATCCCAGAAGACCGCAAATTTTTGTTGTTCCACAGATTACCCCATCCATGGGGGGTAAATATCAACAACTGAAATGTGAACACTGTAAATCTCGCGGTGTTGCGGCAACACCAAAAAGGTGTAACATTACACTAATTAGGTGTAACGCGGAATTAAACACCGTTCGAATGTAACATTACACTTCCACAGTGTAACTTTACACTATTTTAGTGTCTCGGTAACACTTACTAGGTGTAAAGTAGAAAATATTCTATTTACACCTAATTCGGTGTAGATTTACATTAGAACGGTGTAACATTACCTCTTTCCTTGTTAATTTACACCTTGCGATAGTGTAAATATACACTTATTCGGTGTAAAGTATACCAACACTTGCGAAGTGTAAATTTACACTTTTCCTGGTGTATCATTACACCTAGAACGCGTTAAAATACACGGAGCTGAGGTGAAGTAGAAACTAATGTATTAACTATTATTGCAGTGTAAATTTACCCTTAACAAGTGTAAATTTACCCAATTCTTGTGTATGGGATAACACCATAATAGTGTAAATATACACCGGAATGACGAAAAAATTATGAATGCTTACTTAGTGTAAATCTACACTGAACCTGGTGTATAATTACACTAAGACTATTTTAAGATACACTGATCTGGTGTAAAGTAGAAACCGAAGTATTAACACCTTTTTGGTGTAAATTTACCCTCAAACGGTGTAAATTTAGCCTATTCTTGTGTATGAGATAACACCATGATTGTGTAAATATACACCGGTATGATGTAAAAAACATGAATGCTTACTTCGTGCAAATCTACACTGAACCTGGTGTATAATTACACTAGACGATTTTAAGATACACTGCTCTGGTGTAAAGTAGAAAATTAAACGAAGTATTAACACCTATTATGCTGTAAACATACCCTCAAACGGTGTAAATGTACCTAGCTAATTCTGGTGTATGTGATAACACCATGTGTAAAGTGTAAACATACACCAGAATTTGAAGCTCAGATAGGCTATTTCCAGCATTTTGAGGAGTGTTCCAACAAGAAATTAACTTTATAAACAGTGACATAATTACTGCAATTTTACAATCTCCCAAATGTAATCCAGTCCCAATAAGGCAACATGATGTGATGATGGCGGTAATGAAAATGTGCGTGGTATAGTATTATCATTCACCACACTTCAAATTTTACAGTACTGTATTACATGTATTGGGGTACTTGATATCGACGCATTCGCTTCTCAGTGTCACTGAAGAGCACGATAGGGTGGTCTCTTTGGAGTATCTTTCCTTGGAAAAACTAAACTAGAACCTAAAATGCCATTTCATGCCTTTTTCCACGAGCAAATTATTTCAGCCATGGTTTAGGTTTCTGGCGATGTTTAAATTTCAGTCCCCAAAATTCCTACCGAGGCATGCAACTGACTCGGTTGACTCATAGCTAGTTACGAACCTGCAGATGATGGTCAAATTCAGAAATGTTAACAGCTTATAACATCATTTTCTCACTTTGATATACAATTGCTGGTTGACCACCTACTGCAGATAGTTCTTACGGACCTTGCACTGGGGGGTGGTGGGACAAAATTGCTGACTGGAGGGGCCACTAGGACGGCTGGGGGGGGGCATGTCCCCGCAGTCTATATGTTAAAAGAGGCCCTGAGTCATTTTATCGAATTTAATTGGCCTGAAACTGAGTTTATAGTACTCCTAGGAGTTTACGTGGAATTCGTCTTGGTTTATTTCATAATTATTTATATCCAATCTAGCAAAATTTCTACGGGGGCGGATTCGTAACTGTAGTCTCCAGAGCGGTAGATCTCCTACGTACAGTCAGACAGCCGTGATAACTAAAATTCGTAAAATTAGGTGTTATATTGCGTCGTAAATGCTTTGATTATTGTCGTTTAAGCAAGATATAATAAGACAGCTAGAATTTTGAAGATAGAAATTAGAATTAAAAGTTTCTGTCAAAAAACCGCAATACACTTTAATTTGCACTGGATTGTTCACATGATTGAGATCAGTGCCTTCAGTCAATCGCGTTGCCATATATGGGCTCCCAGAAGGCTTAGCGGGACACATTTCGAGCGCGTCCTTTGGAAATTTTATAACGCTGGTTGATAAATATTATATGGCCAAGTTTTCTTAAAATATTTACGAAAATATGAAGAAATACTCCAATTTTTGAAGATCCACACAATAATCTTAAATGTAAGTGTTAAACTATGTCAATATTTTGAAGTTTCGTGTGTAAATATGTGCCATAAATAGTTGAATTCATGTATATTTTTAACCGCCGTGCCGTTGGTCGCATTTGTATTTTGTATTGGGTTCAACAATATGTTGTTACTAAAATGCATTAAAACATAGTTATATTGCTTTGTATTTACAGATTATAATTCCAAGCAATAAATATTGTCATAATATGTGCTCCAAAGCAAGTCGAACTGTCGAAATCATGATACCTGTAAATGTATAAACGACAACAAACTAGAATACTACAGGCTACAAGAAGGTATGAATATAGTTTAATGTATTGAGACGGTATCAATATTGATTGATTTAGCTAATATTGATATAATCGCCAAAGCAAGTTCAATGGCTTTATATGAGAGCAGAATAATTCCTCCTCTGTGTTTAATATTTATATTGTGCCTATCAATAGATTCCAGACAACCCCTAAATATACATATTGCTGAATTCCCTGAATACATTCAGGAAATATGATGCTTGTGATGTTACTCTGAGGGTATATCCACACCGGGCAAGCTTGAAAAATATGCCTGGCCACGGTGGGAATCGGACCTACGACCTTTGGAACACTAGCCCAATGCTCTGCCAACTGAGCTACATGGTCAGGTCGGTTCGAGTACCGGTATGTGATATTTCGGAGCAGAATCTAGTTCTTTCAATATCAATGTAATCTAGTGATCATGACTTTTTCTGTGTTGGTGTAATGTACTCAAGTGAATATGATGCTTGTGATGTTTCTCTGAGTGTATATCCTGACTGCGTAGCTCAGTTGGCAGAGCATTGGGCTAGTATTCCAATTAAGGTTGTAGGTTCGCTTCCCACCATGGCCAGGCATATTTTTCAAGCTTGTCCGGTGTGGATATACACTCAGAGCAACATCACAAGCATCATATTCACCTGAGTACATTACACCAACACAGAAAAAGTCATCCAGGATATATGTTTTTCATAATTTTTCTGTGTTGGTACTTACATTGGGCTAGTATTCCAAAGGTTGTAGGTTCGATTCCCACCGTGACCAGGCATATAAATTTTTCAAGCTTGCTCGGTGTGGATATACACTCAGAGTAACATCACAAACATCATGTTTCTCATAGTTATACCTCTGAGGAATTCCAAGCTCAAAAATTATATATGATCCCCTGATTGCCCTGAAGAAATATCCCAATATGCTAAGTACTATGCAGACACTAATATGGCATAATGCCATAATTAGTAAATGTTTATGACTTATGAATCAAGTTCAGGGCCGTAGCTAGACGCGATAATTTGGGTGGTGTATATTCATATAAATAAATTCATGTTCACATACCATAAAAACAATCGCTTTCAAAAGAAATCCATCTGGGCAGAGCACGAATATATGAATATCCCCCCAAATTATCGGTCTAGCTACGGCCCTGGTCAAGTTGTGTGTTTATATTGAACCGAGGTAGCCCAGATACCAGAGTTCATTGTACATAGTGTTGTACCAACAACCAAGTAGAATTTCATCCATGTTTACTTGAGACTTTTCAGGCAGGTCAGCTCAAAGCACCTGTCTTTATTGCTATATAAGAGCTGTTTACATTGCCCTCTGAAAATGTACCATCGTACGGAACAGATAAAATGACATTCTTACTGAGTGAATTTACCTGTGCTTGGACAAAGGTTTGAAATGACTATATACCGGATATCATATCCAGGTCAGGGCTGCCGAGAGAATTTGCAGGGCCCTGGGCAAATCTTCTGTGGGGGCCCCATGACTAGACCTTAGCTAGACTGCATGTTGAGCTACTGTAAGCGGCCCTCAATTTCAAAAATGCTCTCGTCAATTTAAAGGACCTACTCAATTTTAGGCTCTCAAGTTGGGGCCCTATTAAGGTTGGGGCCCAGGGCAATTTCCCCCTCCCTCTATCGGCAGATAGTGAGATAATCTTACTATCCAGTATATTGGCAGATACTGGATTTGACCTTTGAACTTTGTGGGCAAGACTTTGGCAATACCCATGTTTAGAATGAAGTTATTTCCTATGATTTCAAGTATCTTTTCAAGTCAAAGTATTATAAACACCCTCATTTATTTATAATCAATTAAACTAATTATTTATCTTAAATGAAAGTCTAAACCTTTATATCAACAGTATCCAGTATTCAGCCGGATAATGCAGATATCTTTCTTTCAACTATCCGACATAGCTGAAATCTGGCTGGATGGCAAAAATGTCTATCTGGTGCAGCCCTAGAAATGACCAAATGCCAGGTGAACAATTGTGACCAATTGTTTTATCTGACAACCAGGTATTTCCTAAAGGTAGCCCTCATTGTGACTGAGAAAAAAGTTTAAAAAAGACAAGTGTATAACTTTAATAAAAATATTGACTTAGGCTAATGAGGTTTTTGGGTAATTAGTTAGGATTATCTACAAATTTTACTTGGACTGTAGACAAATTGGCACAGGAGGGCATGTTCTGAAAGAGAAAAGCTGACATTGTATAACAGACCCTGAGACACACAGCAAGCTAGAACTGGTTGAATTTAAATGTGCTTCAGAATCAGTTACTTTGAACATATTGTATGTCATTGCAACTTTAGAGTTGTGTGTTAATTATTTCCTTGCCGCTACCATGAGAATGAAATTATTATGCATTAGGGATGCACCTGATAGAACATTTTACTATTCAGCCGAATACCATATATGCCGAACGGATGGAAAATATCCTACCAGATTATCCGGCCAAATACTGGATATAGAGTGATTATAAAATATATGTAGGATATATAAAATAAGATATAAACTTTAAAAATGTTGGAAGCGAAACCAGGATTCTCTGGTTAAAAAGATTTATTTATTACAAGCGTTTGACTGCCAGTCTGCAGACGGAGACCCGTCGAAGACTGCAGACTGGCAGTCGAAAGCTTGTAATAAATAAATCTTTTAACCAGAGAATGTTTACACAATTAAGATATAAACTGTTTATAAAGTGATGCTATTTATAATATATTGATTTGAAATGATACAAAAGAACTTCACAGTGAATTAAACTTAAAGTGCCCAAATATACATTATTATTTACTGTGACTAAAAATGTTAATCCCAGAAAAGTTTACTCCTCTGGTTTTAAACGGTCTCTCTGCCAATGTGCCTTGTTAAATCATACTATGCCCTAAACCACTCGACTTGCCCTAAAAAGTGTTACTTGTTGATAGTTTAGCCAGACTTTCTACCCAAATCTCAAATATTTACTCTGACATGTCACCAACAAAAAATTAGATTGGGTTTGTTCTATAAGTTGTTTGATACTTTCTCATAAACCCATAAAAGGTACAGTGCACTCTTTATAATAATCTCTAATGCAAAATAATTATCTTTCAAGGGAACGTGCTGGCTGGCCATTAATGTTTAACGAAGGACAGTTGCACACCAAAACCTTTGTAGATTTTGTGCGCTACAATATAGTGATGTGTTCTTCTTCGACTGTGTCAAAGTTCCATTCAGCAAAGATTCTATTGGTTTCAAATCACCTGTACTGGTAATATGAACTTTAATTTGGATTGTGACCGATATAAACTATGTTGAAATGATTCAACTGAATCGACATATGTAACGTAGACTATAGTTTTAAACTCTAAAAATATATAATTTACATTTGTACTTTCTATTCTCTTCATTGTTTTAACTTAGTAATTCAGTTAAATTGCATGAGTTAATAACATACAATCTTAAAGGACAATGGCAATAAATTTTTTTATTCTCGATATCTATTAAGCATACCTACGGAATACTTAATTACGTATTTTCACTTGTCTATCGCGTTTAGTTGTTCAGAAATATCATAAAACTTTCGACAGTCGTCCGCCATCTTGAAAAAAACCTGGTATGCTAATTTATGTGAGAATAAATTTGTGACGTCAAGAGCAGGGGAAACAAATATTGTCAATATAAAATAGTATGCGTGCGAACACATTCTACGAAGATTTTGACCAAAAAGTGCGGATAAACTCCAAATTTTTTTGTATAACTGCGTAAAAATTTAGCGCTACTACTCTACTGTGTGTTTCAGCTGTGTTTTTGAAATAAACGCGTTGATTTCGGCGGTAAAAGCTCTTAGATTATAAATGATTGGCCATAGGCATAGTCTGGTACTATGTCAATATGACAATATGCTCGCCCACTTTGTAGACTTTTATATTTACTGTTCTCGGTGATCACGGCACGGCTATAACCACATCAACAGGAACAATATCGCATAAATAAATACTATAAAATGACTGAGAATATGTTTTGATTCTTTGCAATTCGCGTGCAAAAATCGTTTTGATGTTTTTGTGATATAAATAATGAGGACAAATATGTTTATAAACTTAATTTTAATAAAGCATTAATATATACACCACTGCACTTTAATAGATAATAGGACAATTGCAAATAATGGGGTTGCATGCTGCACATTATATAATAAAGCTGATTACATGATTACATCGAAGGAATTAGAGGATCTTCAACCTTGGATTTTGACTCAGTTCAAAAATATAAAAGTTAAAACTAAATTTCAAACCTGTTTCGAGCACCCAGGCTGAACAAATTCAAACGCTGTCAACAGTATAAAACTAGTTTATCCCCAGGCTTGAAAATGCTTCATGTAATCGGCACATACTATAGAGTTATTATATAAATTTGGCCAAATTTGAATAAATGAACTTTCAAACAATCTCAAAGCCCCAAACTGCTCTCGAATACATAATTCCCATTATAGACTAATTTTAAAACTAGGCAAGGAGATGCAAATAAATCACCACAGCTAGAAAGAGCATACTAAAATGGGTAACATTGCAAAGCTTGGTTGCGAAATGTTGTAAAATGCGGAAAATATAGCAAATTTTGTATACTTTTGTATTGCGTGCGTTAATTGCTACCACATTTGGGCCGAAAATTAGCAATTTCCGCACGCAATACAAAAGTATACAAAATTTGCGAACTTTGCAAGGCTATGTGTTCCGCATTTTACAACATTTCGCAACTAAACTTTGCAATTTTACTCATTTTAGTATGCTCTTTCTAGCTGTCGTGATTTATTTGCATCTCCTTGCCTAGTTTTAAAATTACTCTATAATGGGGATTTGTCTATTATTGTGTGAACACACGCATGCCGTGAAGTGGCCTTCTGTTCTTATTCCCCAAAATCTGAAATACCCAACGCGAACATCGTTGGAAGCTACTAGTCTATAAATTTTGTGTATCTTGTCCAAATCTTTGTCATCCAGAGGCCAGTTTAATATCTTCAAGATAGCGACAAACGTCTATTTAATAGCCCTTCCGATAAGCATGTTCGCTTTCAATTCTGCATGTATTGACAGTGTTGTAAAGGCAGTCGAGCACTTCTCCCCTTGGGTTTCAGCCTCCTTTAATCATGCATCTTATTCATCGTATTCTAACGCTTTATCGTGGCAACAAAACAATTCAATATCTTTTGGCTTCAATGTGCAATGCGCCAAGCATTTTCGACCTCAAACACATTACACATCGTGATTTCCTCGTCAGACGATTCACTCTGTTCTTCGGAGTCGCTCTCGTCACCGCTATCGCTTGTTTGTAAGCCCAGTTTAGGTTGAAATTGATAAGGTAATACCTTATCTACTTGATATCGTGGATATTTTCCATCCGAGTAATCAAAAAGCGCCAAATTTCTCACTAGAAGTACGAAGTCGCAATATGCGCCTAATAAAATATATTTGTTGTTTTGATTCTACCCTGCTCTTGACGTCACACAGGTCATGTGACCCAAAAGATAATTTTTTTGAAAATCGATCCAAGATGGCGGACGTACTGAATATTTACGGTGAAATAACTCGAGAACAAAACATTTTTGATAAAAACTAATGGCATATTCGTAATCAGGGGGTCCAGTTTTACCAATATCAGGAATAAAAAAATTTATTGCCATTGTCCTTTAAGCAGCATTTATACAAAAAGGTATTTTTACATTACATTAAGTTTATATTGAATATAGCTACTTTAGACATCAATTGGATGTACATTTACATCACAAACCATATCAGTACAGTAGATGTATTCAGTAAGTACGTAATGCAGTGTAAAAAGACTTTTAGAGGTGTTAGTTTACGCTCGTAGTGTAGATTAACACCAGTTGGTGTCCACACAGCTGCAAGGTGCTTTACACCAAAACAGCGTAAAAATATCTTCGGAAATGTTATTTTACGCTCGTAGTGTAGATTTACACGAAATCGGTGTCCACACAGCTGCAACCTATTTACACCAAAACAGTGTAAAAATATCTTCGGAGTTGTTACTTTACGCTCGTAGTGTAGATTTACACCAAATCGGTGTTCACACAGCTGCAAGCTATTTACACCAAAAGAGTGTGAAAAGATCTTCGGAGGTGTCATTTTACGCTCGTAGTGTAGATTTACACCAAATCGGTGTCCACACAGCTGCAAGCTATTTACACCAAAAGAGTGTGAAAAGATCTTCGGAGGTGTCATTTTACGCTCGTAGTGTAGATTTACACCAAATCGGTGTCCACACAGCTGCAAGCTATTTACACCAAAAGAGTGTGAAAAGATCTTCGGAGGTGTTATTTTACGCTTGTAGTGTAGATTTACACCAAATCGGTGTCCACACAGCTGCAAGCTATTTACACCAAAAGAGTGTAAAAAGATCTTCGGAGGTGTCATTTTACGCTCGTAGTGTAGATTTACACCAAATCGGTGTCCACACAGCTGCAAGCTATTTACACCAAAAGAGTGTGAAAAGATCTTCTGAGGTGTTATTGTACACTCGTAGTGTAGATTTACACCAATTCGGTGTTCACACAGCTGCATCTTTTTAACACTGAAAAGGTGTATTTTAACACCAAAATGAGTGTAAGTAAACACTAAATCGGTGTCCACACAGCTGCAAGAATTTACACCGATTTCGGTGTTGTGGTAACACTCCCAGATTTACAGTGTATCTTGCTTTGGCAAATGGTATAACATCTAATCAAGCCAAGTTGTGCTCATTATCCATTCAAGCAATGAAACTATTGAACCAGAATTATAAGAGCAACCTGTTATATAAATTTGCCCATACCAGCCTTAGATATATATTTTAGTATGCACACATGTACATAGTTCCACTTATGCATGCACTGTGTTGGTAATTTTGTTCTTTTCAGGCTACACCCACATGCACACATGTAGATAGTTATGCATGAATCATGTGGGTAAAGTTCTTCTCAGGTTATACAAGAAGCTGGAATAATCTGTACTTTGCCATAAGACTCTAGACACTCTAAGCAGGTACAGTATATACATATTATTATATGTCTCGAAGTGTCATATGTGGCATTACAGGCTCTCATTGTATGCGTATTGGTGACATGAAAATGTTAAACGAATCTTAAGTATTTACTTTATGTAGGGTGTATCAAAATAAACGCAATTCATCTTTTGTGCTTAATAACTTTCGAAATACTATTTCTAGTTAAACGCTTTTTGGCTTACTTCAAAGCCTGCTCTTTTCTCTTTCAAACAAACTATTATCCTTGTCTCCAATGCTAGTAATAATTGCACAGGAAAAGATTTAGTAAAACCTATCATTTTTAGTTGCTGTTTATTTATGCAAGTTTACTATGTTATTGTTTAGTCGGTTTAAATGTTAGAATTTTCTTCTTTAAACTTTAATGTTGTCGTCACTACATCTGGAAAACCACGTAAGAACAAATTAAAAGTATTTTAAAAGAAACCAGGTTGTTTGAAAATCCTAAACGAATGCTAAAAATCGTCAAAACATTCTGGTGTCTGAGCCAGAATGTCATCGAATTGCGATGTAATGTAAACAGAAATTATAGCAAGTTGATGTCAGTCAGCTTAGATGATCCAAGCCAAAATTATATCGCATTTGAAGTTTCAAACTGAGTTAAAAATAGTGGAAGAAAAGCCGTAATTATACTTATTGTTACAATCCATTTAATAAAATGCAACATTTTTTTGTTTTAATGAAAAAATCAGTTATTTTCATGAGAACGTTTAGTTATTCCATCTCAATTTTTTTAATCTCCAATCGCAATAACGTAAAGTATTATTACCCGCGAACCAATGAGTCAAATTTAAGAAACAACCCACTGTTAGAAAGCGGAATGGCTACGCTTTAAAATGAATGTAAACTTTAATGTTTTCGTCTATTATTTGTTTAGCAATTTACATTTCAGTCGAGGATTGCGCTTTTTTTTATACACCCTGTATATTGTAACATTTGAATAAAGCATTTTATTAACATCAATTGTGTATGACCATTGCATTATGACCAATAATTTTCAGGAATGGATTTACTGAGGGGGGTGGTGCACCCCAACTTAGCTCTGGGCAGAGGGTATACAGGGGTGTGTGCTATTTTCATGATAAAGCAAAACAAATTAGAGACAGAATGAGTAATTTGAGTAATAACATGATGATAAGCGAACTGTTAACAAGAATTACAATTGGAATACAGTAGTCAAGCAAGACTTTGCAGTAGTCAAGTAAGTTGATGGGTGGGCGGCGCACACGACCGTCACAACTCGGCACCAGAGCTGACAGGCACCCCCTACCACATCATGCTAGATCCATCCGTGCTAAATATACAACAGTTAGGCTATACCAAAGGTGGACTATAAGATAAAGTAGGGATCGATAACTGCAGTAACCAAACACAGCGAATTGAGTTTGAAAACATTTATTTATTTGAAAAAGAAATTGTAAAATTATAGTATCAAATATTTACCTGAAATAATAAAAGATGTATTAATAGGAGTAAATTTATATGGAAATCTCAACTAAAAATGTCTTGCTCATGTTCTACTTTAAATTCCAACTTGAGATTTTTTGATCTTCTATCTTTTTGACTATCACAAGAGCCTGTTGATATCTTTGTTCTCGCCAGGAACCAACTACAACAAACTCCTCATGCAGGATACAATGTGTCTCCTCCACATTCCTTGTCTTCTCAGGATACAATGTCAGGGTTTGTAGCGGTCTTTGAAATCCTTGAAAGTCTTTAAGGTCTTTGAAAAGTCTTTGAATTGTGTGAAAAAGCGAAGAAGGTCTTTAAAAATCTTAAAATTCTTTAGTGATTATTTAATTATACGATTTTCTAGCTGATAAAATTGATTGAAGCAAGATTTTCGCAAATATCGACGAAAAGGTGCATTTTACGATGAGCTTTGACGGGACTAATTACCTGGTAAAAATGGTCCTTATACACTCACAATTTTCGACAGCTGATTGCTCTCAAAGATCTTTAAAGAGTCTTTGAAAATAGGTAGAAAAATCTTTGAAAGTCTTTGAATTTTTTTGGTCTTGGAGACTACGAACCCTGAATGTGTCTCCTCCACAATCCTTGTCCTCCAGAATCCTTGTCCCCATCATTCTCCCAATCAGAGCTTGAATCATTCACGTCTTTAGCATCACCAGTAGTCTGTTCCACACCCAGCAATTGGGTCAACTGCTGAATTTCGTCAATCTTTTCCATGTCTGCAACTCCACCTTCTGCACCAATACTTTCGACATCACCAGGCATCCCTTCACCATGAATTTTAACCAAACACATAGGATTTAATGGCTGCTTAATGTATATATATATATATATATATATATATATATATATATATATATATATATATATATATATATATATATATATATGTATATATGTATATGTATATGTATATGTATGTATATATGTATATGTATATGTATATGTATGTA